CATAAAACATTAATCGATTTCAGATTCGGCCGCCGATAAGGCTTTCAATTTACATATTAAAGTAGAATTCCAAACAGATATTTCTATAAGTAACAGATAGAAAGCCAAAATCATGGAAAACACAAAATAAACACATAAGTTATTTTGATTCTCTCGTTAGCATCGTTAAATACGGATTAGTAGCTAATTACGGATCGGGGTTGTTACACAAATTTGGCAACAACTTTGGCAATTGCCAAATTTGCCACATCAACCAAATAAACAGAATTTGCCTTCAAAATTTTCAGACTGCAAAATCTTGTAATTTTTTGTTGTTGTTGTTGTAATGGTTTGTTTTTTTGGTAGGATGAATTATATTTAATTTTTTTTAATTTTTCAATTTCTTTTTAATTTTTTATATTTGTCTAGTCTGGTATAATGAAAATATATAATTTTTTTTACAAACAGTTAAAAAAAGGTCACAAAAAACAAAAAATAAATAAAAAAATAACTAAAAAATTTATATCCAAACAATATCTACAAATTTAGAGGGAAAGTTTGTTAAGATTTGCCAAAATAGCATGTGTACCATTGGAGCACAATTGCTATAATTTGACAAATTATTACTATTCATTGCTAAATTATAACAATAGTAATAGTATTATAGCAAATACCTTTGGAGATGCTCTTAGATGGTTATTGGTGAAGATTTGATTGATTTCCCTCTTTTACTCTTTTCCTTCTTCTCCTCTTGTTTGTAATGTTCCAGTCAACATGTTTTTGTTGAGTTTTGGGCTTTGATTTGCATAAAATTGAGGTTGGGATTGCAAAACCCAACTTCAAGAAGTGGAGCAGAATTTTGAATTCTAGAAGCCTAGAACCACATGTGCGGCAAGAAGAACTGCACGTGCGGAAAACAGAGCCCAGGAAGTCAAGTTTACTGCTTTAATTGCACGTGCGGTGACACTTCCGCACATACAGTTTCAGGGCAGGCTCGATTTTGTTTTGTTTTGTTTTGTTTTTTTTTTTTGATTTTTGAACTTTTGGGCCTTCGTTTGCATGGTTTTTAAGTGTTTTTCATGTGCATTTGCATCTCATGAACACAAATGAAATAAAAGAACGAATATGAACGGTTTAGGGAATAAATAACGGTTAGGTTATGAACTGATTGAATGAATGGGATGTATTTTGAACTATTGTACTTGGATATGCTTCTATAGATCAAATGTTGCGTCCTAATTCGAGGAGCCAACTGTGAGTAATAACCTGGTAAAGATATGTTTAATTATAAGTATTTTCTGACTTATACCATACTCTGTTTCTGAAATGATACTTTCTGTTAAATGAATGATTGACTTGTGTTTCTGAACTGTATTCGTGGCATCTTTAGCATCTGTTTACTGTTACTGTTACAAAGATCTCTGTTAGTTCCAATTCTTGGAACTTCTGTTTACTGTATTGATGAAACGTCCATCAATTCTGACTGTTCAGTCTTCATGATCGTCTGTACTGTTCTGCTATTGGATGTACCACGTATGACTGCTATGTTTTTTGTATGAAATATGGACCTGCTATGCAATGATTCTGATTTTCCCTTTACGATTATAATTGACTAATTTGGATTACAGTGAGGATATCATTCATAACCTCTTTACACTGTTGTTATTCACTGGGCTCTTGCTTATGCTTTTATATATGTATATAGGTGATCAAGTGCAAGAAAGGACATAGTGGCGTCGACCTAGTCTCCGTTTTGTCAAGCCAACTTTTGTACCTCACCGTGAGGTTCCTACCGGTCAAGTGTCGTGGCTTCTAGGTGGTTTGAGACCTACCCTTTTGAAATTGTCTCTATTGATATGAAAGTTTTCTTGATTTTTGTGCATCCTCTATTAATAGATCCAATGTTGTATGTTTGAGATGCAAGCTTGTAATTGACTAATGTACATGTGTGTGTATATATATATATATATAAGTTCTTGTGGTCCCATTTAAGTCTTCACAGTTCGTTAGACGTTTTATTTTCTTATTTATTGGCTTCCGCCAGCCTCGCTACTGTAGTACTGTTAAGCAGGCCTTTGGTAATCTCGGATTATTGGCTAGTTACGACACCAAACCTATAGAGGTGGGTTTGGGTCGTGACATTCTCCCCATTTTCCTCTATTTCCCTATTTCTCACTCTTGCTATAGGGTTTATATGATTTATTCAGTTTAATTTCCTGTTTAGCTTGTTTTTGGTTTAATTTCTTCAAATTGCAATAAACATATACATGATTTCTTTACATACATATATTTATGCCTTCCTTAATTATGATCCACGGAGGCTATAGTTGATTGGTTTCACCTATCATCTTAGGTTTCTCAAAGGTCTTCGCTTCTGGGTTTCAATTCTTCAAGCTTGTGAGTCATCAAACTTCGATTTTTCTTTATGGGTTTTGTGTTTTTGATTTATCTTTCTTCTGATTTTTGGGTTTTCTTATTCATCAAGTGAATATTTTGGGTTGTTTAACTCATTAAGTTTTCTTGTACATGAACTCATATATTACTTCTGGGAAATTTCTTCTTAAAGTAGTTTTTTTGTGGTTCATTATTTGAAATAATTGATTTTTGTTCTTCTTTTAATTAGTTTCAGTGTATAACAGCCCTAGGAATTGGTTGGAGCACTTCATTAAATTTCTAGTGATGTTTGTATGAAAACTTTGGGGACATTATTGGGTTGTGACTTGTATCTGTTTTTGCTAAAATTTTGATGCACCAAGTAATTTTTGGATTACTTTTCTAAGATTATAAAAGTTGGGTTTTGATTTTAAGAGGTAATGGTTAGATGTTTCAATGGGTTCCTTGATTAGTAACCAGTTTATCGCATTTGACATTAGTATTGTGATTTTCTCTAACACAGATGATCTTGTTTTAAGTCCCTCAATCTCAATAGTGTTTTTTACCATTGCATTACAGTTGTTTGTCAATTGAATTTAGGGATGAAGTGTTGTTGAGTTCGATTTAACATTGTTAATAAAAACTTACATCTTTTGTAATAAAACTACTATATTTTGAATTTTTTATATGTAGAGCTTCTGGAAGCCAAATTATAAAATCTTAAAAAGTAGATTCTGTAAATTTGGGGCATCAGTGTTGTTTATCAACAAAGCTTGGATCTTTATATCTATCTTTATGGTTGTACATATTGTTATTTGTATCCACACAAGCACTTGCCCACACCTTTATGGCAGGACCAAGGTTCTAATACCGGCCGGTTCGTACCGGAAAATGATAGGGCCGAGTCGGATACTCACCGGTATACCGGCGAGACTGAATTTCACGACCGTAGCGGCCGATTCCCGATACGTATCGGGTTGAATCCGATACGTAAGCGATTTGTTGTCCGATACATGCCGATACGGATGAAAAACGAGCAAAGCACAGTGTCTTGTGTATGTATGAGTGTGGCTACTGAGCAAAGCAAAGCACGACAATTACCTGCAAAAACAATTAAGAAAAGCAAAGCAATCACCTGGAGAAAAAGCAAAGCAAAGCAAAGCACTTTGAGGAAAAGAAAAAACAAAGCAAAAGAACCTGCAAAAGAAAAAAACATGGACCAAAGGACCTGCAAAAATAAAGCAAAAGGACCAAACCTCTGAAGAAAAACTCAGACTCACGGACTCACGGAATACATACACAGACTCATGAACGGACACCATAAATGTGTTACAAACCTTTGAAGAAAAACTCAATCGGACCAAACCCAACTCCTCAATCAAACCCAAATCTATCTCCCAGGAGCTTCGATCTTGTAAAGTGTTGCGGCCTACAGGAAGAAGCATCGAATCGAACCCAAATCCATCACCGATTTGAAGCTTCTTCGTTGAAGGTTTGTCTCTCACTCATGCTCTGTTTGTTCTCTCACCATATGATGCTCTGTTTTTTTTGTTTTGGGTCAAGAAAGAAAGTCTTAGTTTTGCTTTATAAGTTGTGTTTGGTTCGGTTTGTTTATAATTTTTTTTTCTGTGGCTATTTTTTTAAATGCACATAATTTTTTGTATATATTATTGAGGTTGAATAGAATTCGGGAGCAATTTTTTACATAATTTTAAATGCACATAAGTTCAGAAGGTGAATAGAACTCATATTTTACAATTCAGGAGCAGGTTTGTTCTCCCATAATTATATATATATATATATATCATCATCATAGAATATAATTTTTTATATAGAATATAATTTTTTATATAGAAAAATATTTTTTATATATATTTTAAATGCACATATTCTCAATATATATATTTTTTATATATATTATTTAAAGAGATTTAATCTGTCAGATTTTTTATTTCAGATTTTTTTTATTATTTTAAATTTTTTAATCTGTCAAATCTTTTTATTTCAGATTATTTTTATAGAGGTTTAATCTGTCAGATTTTTTTAAAGAGGTTTAATTGTTAAGTAAAGATGTTTAATAACAAAAAATGACAAAAATAACAAAAATCACTAACTTAAGGAAGACAAAATTTGACAACAACTGACCAACCTTAAACACACAACATTACCAAACAGGTCATGAATTAAGTAGTGACTTGAAAGCAATTTCTGTGTTCGTATTAATGCTAATAGTCCTAAAAATTTAAGCTTTTAGCACAGCAAATAAGGGTATAGAAAATTTCATAAAGCCACAATCCAAAACAACCAAACTGTTACATTCCACAAACCAACTTGGTAAAAGCACTTAAACATCAAACAGTAAATTTTGAAAGAAGCAAAGAAAAAATTAGGAAGAGCAGTTTGCCAATTTGTATTGTTCACTCTAGTGCCTACTAATGTTGTTAATTCTAAATGGCTAGAACCAATGTTGGATATTGCAAGAGAGGTTGGAAAAGGAATAAAGCTATCTACTTCTTATGAAGTAAGCCTCTAACTTAAAGTTTGAAAAAACTCAATCTATGTTTAAAAATAAATAAATTATTAAGATGCTTGTTAATAATTTTTATTTATTATTTATTATTAGATAGGTAACTGATGTGTATTTACCAATGGAGTATGAAGCTTTACAAAATTGGATAAAATCTCATAAATCTAGTTGGGCTGAGAGAGGTGTTACAATTATGTGTGATGGATGGTCTGGGCCCACAAGAAAGCACATTGTTAATTTTCTTGTGTATAGCAATCGTGGAACAATTTTTCAAAAGTCTGTGGATGTAATTGATGTACCTAGTAGGACAGCTGATTATTACTTGGGCCTCATGGACAAGGTAGTGGATGAAATTGGAGAAGAATATGTTGTGCAAATCGTAACTGATAACGAAGCTGCGATAAAGGCTGCTGGTTACAAACTTATGCAAAAAAGGGAGAATCTGTATTGGACAGGATGTGCAGCTCATTGTATTGATCTTATGTTAGAGGATATTGGGAAGAAAAAAAGTGTAGCAAAGGTGTTGGATTGTGCAAAAGTAATCACACGATTTATTTACAACTCCAATTGGGTCGTTGATTTCATGAAGAGATTCACAGGAGATAGAGAGTTGTTACGTCCTGTCATCACACGCTTTGCCACCAATTTCATTACTTTGGAAAGCATTGTTAAACATAAGACTGCTTTACAGGATATGTTTCATTCTCAAGAGTGGAAGCACAGCAAATGGTCTAAAAAAGATGATGCAAAAGAAGCGAAAAAAATTATACAAAGTAAAGATTTTTGGACCAAGGCAGCAAATGTATTAAAAGTTCAAGAACCACTTCTAAAGGTGCTTAGACTTGTAGATGGGGATGAAAAGCCCACAATGGGTTTTATATATGAAGCCATGGATAGAGCAAAGTTGGCCATCAAACAAAATTGTCGCTATTATGTAGATTATTGGAAGATTATTGATAATCGATGGGCTTTCTAACTACACACAGACTTGCATGCTGCTGGTAAGTAATTTTTTATTTATTTAAATTATAAATTATGTGTTCCTTGTCTCACTTTTATTATTATTTTATATTCGAACGTAGGTTATTTTTTAAATCCCATATTCCAGTATGGGGAACACCTTTCTAATCATCGAGAAGTGATGAGTGGAGTTAAAAATGTGATTTCGAGACTTCTACCAGATTTAAACGAGCAAATACAGGCGATAAACCAAATTAGTCATTATTTAATATTAGTTAAGTTGATAACTTATTATTTGACTTGTGAATTGTGTTTGTAAAACTGCTTATTGCCTTTTGTTCATTATAGATCTCTTTATTTTCTAATAAAGAAGATTCTTTTGGTGCTGTGTTAGCACAAAGAGCAGTGAAAGCAACAAATCCTGGTAATTATTATATACTCAATGAACTATTAACTATTTTAATTATATATTACTGTTACATTGTCAACACTTCTATATCAAATTATAACATAATCACTAATATTTGATTGATTTGTATATAGCTGAATGGTGGATCCATTATGGTACATCGGCTCCGGCACTCCAAAAAGTGGCTGTGAGAGTATTGAGCCAAACCACGTCTTCTTCTAATTGTGAGCGCAATTGGAGTACATTTAGCCTGATAAATACAAAGACAAGGAAACGGTTGAAGTATAAAAAATTAAATAAACTTGTTTATGTGTATTACAATATGAGGCTAAAGATCAGACATGCAACACGAAAAAGCCAAGATGATAGAGAGGAATCTTTTAACCCCATCAATCTTGACTACATATTTGAAGAAGATGATCTATTAACTCCATGGCTTCAAGAGAGAGAACATGCAGTCTTGGATGATGAAGATAACTCAGGTTGGTTGATTGTTGATGATGATGATGATGATGAGGGAGATCATGCAACTAGTAGCCAAGTACCTCAACACCATCAAAAAGCAAGGTCTACTGGAAGTGGCTCTAGTGAGGGTCGTGGTTTGAGTCCACCTAGTGGTAGTGGAGATGATAGTGATGGCAGTCGTCCTCCAACAGGTGGTGGTAACGGTGGACAATGGGAGTCTGCAGGTTCTGCACATGGTTGTAGACGCAGTACTCATCATATTGATCATGATTGGAACAGGGATTCTACATAGCAACGACGACATTCTATTTCTACTCCTGATGTAGAAGCATCAATTGGGCGTTCACGACATATTGATGATATTTATGGTCATCGTGACCTTAGAAATCAATTTGGACATCTCGGAGTTAGACAAGAAGATGGAAGGGGAACTCAACATTGGCAACCAATATGCCAAGTACCATATCCTTATTACCCTCCTCCAAGTCAACCACCACCACACATCTATCAACCACCTTATATGGAAAATTGGAACTACTCTCAACAACCTCATCAATATCCATATATAGAGGGTTTCAATTATGGTACAGGGGGGCTTGCAATGACACAACAACAATCAAGTAGCAGTGGCAGCAACAACACTACTTATGATCAATGCACTTTCAATAACTACTACCATGAATATCAATATGGAGAAATAGGCCAACCAAGTCATAGTGATGATCAAAGTGATGTGAGATATGGAGATTTATAAAAGTTGGGTTTTGATTTTAAGAGGTAATGGTTAGATGTTTCAATGGGTTCCTTGATTAGTAACCAGTTTATCGCATTTGACATTAGTATTGTGATTTTCTCTAACACAGATGATCTTGTTTTAAGTCCCTCAATCTCAATAGTGTTTTTTACCATTGCATTACAGTTGTTTGTCAATTGAATTTAGGGATGAAGTGTTGTTGAGTTCGATTTAACATTGTTAATAAAAACTTACATCTTTTGTAATAAAACTACTATATTTTGAATTTTTTATATGTAGAGCTTCTGGAAGCCAAATTATAAAATCTTAAAAAGTAGATTCTGTAAATTTGGGGCATCAGTGTTGTTTATCAACAAAGCTTGGATCTTTATATCTATCTTTATGGTTGTACATATTGTTATTTGTATCCACACAAGCAAGCACTTGCCCACACCTTTATGGCAGGACTGGACGAGCTGGTAAGAAAGGTGTTGCCCACACATTTTTCATGAAGGAAAACAAGGTATAATTTTGTATTATTATAAATATTACTGTTTTTTGATTTCCTGAATGGGACAATGTTAATTCATATTATTTTTTGATGAGCAACAATTGATTTTACTGCAGGGATTAGCTGGGGAGCTGGTTAATGTTCTGAGAGAGGCGGGGCAAACCGTTCCTGCTGCCCTTATAAACTTTGGCACTCATGTAAAGAAAAAAGTGTGCCTTTTCTTTTCTTTGTTTTTATTTATTATTTATTATTGGTTTTATCTTGAGGAGAGGGAGAGAGCATGAGGGTTCTTATAATTGGTGTCGTGGTGTTTGATGTGTAATTCCTCGAAGCTTGATGCTCATAGGGGAACCTATTTGATACATAATCTGACATGTAGGGTAATTTTTTCTTTGATGCATGAACATGCACATGGAGCACATGCAAAATATACACTAGAACTTGGCAACCAGAGATAGATAAGATGTTAATGTATAAGATTATATAATCGATGTGTATTTTGTAGTCTTCTTCGATAGAAGCATTTCTTTGAAAAAAAACAACTCGCGCTCGAGTTTGCCATAATGTGTGGGTGTGGGTGTGTGGACTAAACATGCCTAGAAGTGTCAAATGTGTCTAGTAGTGCTGGGATGCGGAGCCACTTAAATTTTTTCCATTAACCATTCATATGTTGGCATGCTTCTAACATGAACCCATTCTTGCTTGTGTTTTACTAATTTGAATTTGTGGAAGAATAGTGTATTATGCACATTTTTTTCCTACAATTGCAGAACCTCCTCATTTTTATATACTCTCTGGATGGACATTGGTTCAATGTTGGAATTCATAAATAAACATATGGAACTTAGTGCAAGGCTCTCGTAGGAGTTTCCTGCTTCTAAGCTATGTACCACTAAATTAGTAGGCCAAATGGTATTGAGTTGGTCTTTCAGTCTTGGTGTTAGAAATTTAAGTCCCTTTGTTGTTTTGCACAGTCAAAAGAGACAGAGAGGGGGAAGGGGGGGTCATTGTTCTCCATGCTAGAAATTATCGATAAAATTGTTTTAAATGTTACAAAACAATATTACTTCTTGTGCATCATCGTTATTTGTACTCTATTTTACCTTTTATGTATTTTGGCACAATTATTGTAGGAGAAACGATCCAATGAAATTGTTTTAAAGGCCATGGGCAGAGCTACTAACAAAATTGCGATGATTGCAGAATTGATTAAGGTGGTGAATAGATCAGTGATAATCTGTTTGTCTTTTTTCCCGCCTTGTTTGGTTTATGTGGGCCGTCGTTGTTTATTTTTATTTTATTTTTTTATATAACAAGGAAATTCCATATGTCTCTGCCTTGTTTGCATTATATGTTCTTAAAAAAGAGTTTCCTATATTAGAGAAGGATTGCTGGTATCCATGAGAACAAATCAGTTGGTTCGATGGATATAACCTACACGTGGAAACCACTGGAAGAAGGCCTTCTTCCATAAGAAACAAAAGATCTTTTTGTGCTTTTGAACTAGTTTAATACTTTTGTTGCCAATTTGATTGTTATTAGGCTGATAGATTTTTAACTAGTGCAGCCTAGAAACAACTCGCCATGTGTTACTTATAACAATTACTTTGTCCAAGAAGTAGCTGGATACAATTCTGTTTCTATTCTACTGGTTGTAACAAGTCCTTCTCTTCGAGAAGCTGCTAAACATGCTGCCTCATGTCACTCTTCCATTTCTCAGGTAGTTCATATTCATTCTATAAGTTTATTGTTTTATTGGGACCTATGGTATATTTAGTGTCCTATGTCACTGACTCTTGGCTTCATTTCATTTGGTCAATGGTTTATATATTGTTTGTGGCTAGACGACTTGAACTTATTTTCTCGAGTAGTTGTATTATAAATTATAAACTTTAAAATGCTTTATCCTTGAAATGGCTGTAACATTTTTTATTACTCAAATAGAACTTAGGCCTCGTTTGGAAACCTTCAGTTTCAACCAAAAAATCATTATAAGTTGTCATATCACTCTACTTTTATGCCCATCTTTCGTAAAAAGTCAAAAAGTTACTCAAATAGCTTGTTCCCAAACGAGGCCTTAGTTACACAGAATGTTGTTTGTGGTTTGTTTCCATTCTTGAAGTTTACTTGTAGAAGTTTGGGTAGATTAACTCACAAAATTCTAAACTTCTCCAAGAGTTAACATTGTGGGGGAATAAAAGATTCAACATCTCCACAATATGTTGTCATCAATTATTTTGGTCCCAACCAAACAATCAAAGTAGAAAACAAGATTATGAAGCTCTTAGCATTATCTAAACAGCCCCGAGATCATAAACAAACTTGTGAGAGCAAGTTACGCGTCAAAAGGACGCATGGTTAGAGATTTAGAAGGGAAAAAAAATATGTGAGAAAAAGGCGAAAACGGGTCGTTTAGGGGCAAAAATTAGAAACATCCCTAAAAAAGTCCCTAGATCATCACGGTCACCTCGGCCTAGATTAAACAAACTTATGAGAGCAAGCGGCGCGTTGACAAAACGCACGGTTAGAGATTTAGACAAAAAAAATGTGAGGAAAAAAAGGCAAAAATAGGCTGTTTGTGGGCAAAAATTGGAAACAACCCCCAAACAGCCTTGAGATAATCACAGTCACCTCGGCCTAGATTAAGCAAACTTATGAGAGCAAGCGGCACATCGATAGAACGCACAATTAGAGATTTAGACAAAAAAAATGTGAGAAAAAAAGGTGAAGACAAATCGTTTGGGGGTGAAAATTGGAAACTGCCCTCAAACAGCTCCAAGATCATCACAGTCACCTCGGTCTAGATTAAACAAACTTGTGAGAGTAAGCAGCGCTTGATAAATGCTTACTTTCACTATAGATGTTTGTCCCAATATTGCCCTTTTTGAGGTGGAAGTC